GAGAGAATCATGAAGTTGACGGCACACCGCATGCGTGCCTCGTTCACGCGCGTATGACGCAGTGTATACCTACGCGAGCGCTCACGATCACAGGTTGCAAACCATGGATGGACCCAGTGCTAGCGCACACACCGGGATAAGGGTAAATGTGCACGTAGCCCATGGAACTGAAAACTACAAAGAAAATCCCGCCGGTTGAAACATTATCAGTATGGCATTTATTGCGAGGAAAGAAAAACAGCTTACTGATGAAATAGCTTATGATCATTGGTACAATAATATCTGGTCGATTTGAACATCCAGGGAAATCGCCTTGAGGTTGTTAGCTCCTGGGATGACAGAATGATTTCGTATATTACTGCGATAGTGCACTGCTGGAATTTATCCTTGTAAAGGAAATATAGGCCTACTTGGTATAACCCTGTTTTGTTAGATGCAAGCAATAACGCGCCATTCAATAACGACCGCCTTCCAAGTCGCACACAGCCGCTAGTGCGAAATCTCACCGGACGTCATTTGAGTCTTTGAGAGAAGATCCTAGGGAGCGTGCTGGGCGGGAAACGACATGAACACAAAGAGTCGGAATCTGGGACTTGTACGTGCCGACACGCCGGCCAGCTGCGCGAAGGGCGCCAGGTGTCCCGTGTCCCAAAACGCAATTTGGGAGGGAAGAACGTCGGTAGAGCCATCGGTAGAGTGGAAACTGATGTTCTGTGAAATCCTGCGGGGCTGTTTGGTAAGGAGGGTGGAGAAAGTGAGTGATGGTTGGAAAATTGATTTCTGTTTTATTTCACAGAACTAACCTAACACTGAAAATGCTCGCTTTTCCATCTCAAACTTAGCTTTCTCTGGGAATGGGCGAGATGCATAATGGTTGACACTTGCAGATCGGACCGTGCTAAGTCGACACGAAACCCCTTTGAAAATTGTAACTTGAGGTATAAACAGTATTTTCGACAACTGCCTGTCCCTAATTTAAAGCACTGCGTTTAGGTGGTGCTATCACGGTTTGCCATTCGGAATTTGCCCTTCCTATATAAAGTATTTTACGGTAGTGTGTTTAGACGGGTGAGATTTCAGCTTATTAAAGAGCAAGTGCACATTTCAGATGAACGTCTGGTAAGAGAATGCCAACCCACTCTCTGCTGTTCATGATTAGGGCCTATAATTCAAGAAATACAGAGTGGACACTGTGGCTTACTCATATCAGGAAATGTAAGTCTCGAGGAAGCGAGTGGCTGAACGATTAGGTTCTCAAGAAAAACGTCTTCAAACGCTTCATTTGACAGACTTGATATCAGCGGTACACATTTTGTCCAGTTTATAATTTTTTGAAAGGCAGGCACTGGATACCAAAATCAGTATGACGAATGTTGAATACTAAACGAACAGGTATATGGGTTACATGTTTCTGCCGTACAGCAGCTATGAAGTACCTTAATGTTCAGTTTCTTGCTATGTGGTATCTCTGTCGGATCATTTTGCGTAAATAGAATCCGCTCGGCATCTTGAATGGACGTTCTGTAGGCATTTCATTCATGCCAACTGCTCTCTTTTGTCTTGTACAGCTGCTTTTCTCGAGCCATGTGGCACAAAGACTGAGTTTTTGAAGCTATTCACAGATAATCTCTGGCGGCACTTTCTGTCTGACCTGTCGCTCGCAATAGTCGCTACAAGCAAATGTAAAAGTGTCATTGACGCATGCATGAGATCACACGCGTGCGTTGCACGAGCAATTCACCGAGTGAAACCGACAAAAATGATTTGAAATTTGGACTCTGTTAGATCTGCGCGCTTACTTACCGGTATCTAAATGCTGTGTGTTCGATTAACTTCTTAAGATTTACTAGCGGGTTTAACCTTGTCCCCACCGTCTCGCTTGTTTGAGACAGCACACACGACCATCACTGGGTCATAGCTACCCGTGTAAGCTTATCACATAAGCTACAGGTAATGGACCAGCAGCTCTCCCATGTATCTGTTGGCTATTGGTCTGCACACCAAGTCATGCGCAGTGCAATCAGTGTGTTCATATTTTCTTAAGTACAAGTGGCATACTACACCAACTATCATTTCAATTGAAACGAAAATACCATACCATCCAACACCGAATAGTTCTGAGGAATTAATACTTTTTCAACACAAACGTAGTTATCGATTTCATCTTAACAAAGGAGATATACACAGAGAGCACTAATTTTCCCAAGTAGTATTATTAGCCATCAGAAAGTAAAAACATGCCATAAAAAGGCCAAATTTAGCGGGGAAAATTAAAACATTCGCATAGAACTCAGAAATGTTTCAAGCTCGTCTCATAGGGTTTGTGCACAGCAGGGTGTCCAGTGATATCTGGATAATAAACTCTTTCCAACAAAGGGCATTTTGACATTTTTATGCTAACCTTCAACCAATGCAGCCATAAATAGCCATGGATGAACCAACTCAGGGATATCAGAAAGACTGTAAAGTGGGAAGAATCGATTTCAGGCAGGAATAAAACCGCTCCAACTAGCCATCTTTTGCAAATCACGAGACACCGTGTGGAACACATTTTGAAGGTACTTACGTAACAGTTTATGACGCTCATTCCTGCGATGCTCTGCTTTCCTCTGAATTGGAGATAAGGGCTGGATGGCTATGTGTGGCAGATGTTCACATGATTGAGACAAATACCCATCTTGTTAGGCTAGCAAGGCAGTCACATCACTTTGTTTTCTTTTGTCTCTGCTGGCAGACAATGGAACCCACGTGGTACACAGTGCCGGATTCCAACTTGGGGCATCCAACTGCCAAGGCGTGCGAAGACATACTGTGCCAACTCGACTGTCATCACACCTTTGTCGATCGACAATGTACAAGTACAGTGTTCAAAATAGCAGTGCAAAAATTTAAATGTTGCATGTCCAGCTACAATTAAATCGTCTGCGCCAAAGTCGGTACGATATACCCGGACAAAAATCAATCTACAAATCCAGATTACTAAATTTGGATATCTGGGATCTTCACAATTGCAGTCTCCCCTCACTTCCTTGCTGTTTGCATCGAGCCTCTGGCGTTTAAAACACTTTATATGTTTCTTGCACAGTATGAGACCAGATTCACAATGTAAATCGTTTAAGCTGACGTTACAATTTTGTTCAAACCATAAAAAAAAAATGGCTCAGTGACTTCAATGCGCATAACTTATTTGTACAGAATAACGACACCTGGTGCGTTCAGATAAAGCTGGGATTCCACAGAAAACATAAACACGTGGGAACCACATTTCATATGACACCAACGTCATTGAAAAAGGTCTCAACTATCAGACATTCCATAATTATTGTAAACACTGTTCACCGATATTCATAATGAACACGTTCGGTAATAAATTACATGTAATACTGAAATAAAGAAGCCATATTATATCATTTCCAAAGGAACGTTTCTGAATTCAATTTTCTCGCAATGTCGCAGTCGGACCCCAAGGATTGATGATGACATCCTCTGCAGGGTACCGAGGTCTTGCCCCTTCTGTGCCCCTCAACTGATTGACAAGAGGGTAATGTAATTTCTGGACCGGCTGGCGTCTTGGTGTGGTGGAAGGACTCAAGGTGTTTGGGTGATCGATGGCCAGTCCCCATTCGTTCCAGCCTCGCGATAGTGGGAGTATCGATCCGCCCAGCTCGTGTGACGTGACGCTCTGGTTTCCGGGTGACGTTCTTGTCACAAGGCGGTTCATGCAATCGAGTATCATGTCATCACAGTTCACAGTTATGACGAAGAAGGAACCCGACTCTAAACATTTCTAAGTAATATTTTACTTGGTGAAAATCAACCCTTAAATTAATCCAACTCAGCGCAACTGATCCCCCTTCACCATAACCCTACTTCCCGGATCACAACGACTTATTAACAAATAATCAGTTCGGAGTGTTAAAGATTTAAAGTGCGGGCTGTGATGTGCAAATATTTTTAAAAGGGGGGGGGGAATACCCAATAATAATGCAACGTCAAAGCACCAAAGTTAAACTGTAATAAATAACTACTGACCTAAGTTATGCAACACCGACAAGTTTTGGTTTCGCTTTTGTATAGCTTCGTGTGATTTTTCTCCTGGACTTTGAAGTTGCTATCCTACTAGTAAGTCGGATACTACCAGAGTATCGAATTACATGCTATCAACCCAGAACATGAAGTATTCTCCTTTGATTGGAACATCATGGGCCTGTACGTTGACTCGATATAGGACGGAAGACGAAACTGGAGACGAAGATGAAACCGAGACTGGGCCAATCCCATAAAAATCCCTTATATTCTTAACACGCATAGACTGCAATTGCAATCAAGGTGTAATGCTGCTCAGCAAGCCACTATTTAATGACTAGACTCAAGCTGATATACCAAGTATTGAACTCGATCTATTCCACACACAGTTCGCTGGAGGCGAGCATACAAAAATGACGAAATGGCGGTAAATAGATCGATGTTAAATTACACGCATTTTACGAGAGAACAATGTGCTACACCTCTTGCGTCTTTTGAAGGGGGATGCCGCTTGTGACGTTGCCATGGCGGGACTTCAGAACCTTCATAATGCCCGGCCAGCGAGGTGTGAACCTCCCGCGTCATAGATATCGATGCTTGATAACCAGCGCTTAATGAGGGTATACGCTAATGACCGTAAGCGGTTGTACAAAAGCGCCCAGCTTCAAAGGAACGATTTTGTGCTCGAGTTTCGCGTACGAGCTGATGCCGAGAGGAAGTTTTTCCTGTTACTCCAGCTCCAATATCGCGTTCCTCAAGGAACTGAGTGGCTACTCGAAAGGCTGAAAGATTTCTAATTATTGCTGGCACAATAACTGATGATCTGATGAAAGCGCATGAGTTTGCAGTTAACTGTTCAAGATACTTTTCATAAACGGTTTAAAAGCAAGACGGAATATGCAGTGAAGAATTGTGATACAGGTTTACTTTACAGTTTAATAAAAAATAAACTTTTTGCAAGGGTAGACAATTCTTTTTTAAGTTGTCATCACAGATTTTGTAGAGATCTCAAATGCTCATTATGAAAGTGACAATTTGTTCACATGGACAGAATTCCTTTATCATTTTAGACAACGCCTTGATCTTAGAAAAAATAGGAAAGAGGAAGGCTCTTACTAGTCTGCCCACATCCACAAAAGATAGGAATCATAAACACGGAACGGGACAAAGGTACAGACTCCATCACTTATTGTGGTTAACTCACCCGGTCCACCCACCTGCATGTCACCAGTTTTGACATGAGGCACGTATTTTCTTTGACAGAAGACGAGATGGAATCAACGCAAAATAACGAAGTACATGTACATCCGAAAGGAATTTTCTTTTCCGATTGTGCTACGTCTCCAACACTCGCATGATTTCTTATCGTCCGTTTCTACGCCACACTATCTGCTTAGGAAGCATATATGATGGTGATGACACACAGGTGACTTTATTCAAAACAAATGTTATTAACTGTCATGGTATGCATTTTCACAGTGATAGGAATCATACTTTCTGTCAATAATTCTTAGAAGTGTCATATTGAACAACTCCGGGAAGAACAAGGCATTATTGTAACTCCAATCGTAAGTAAACCATCATTTGCCGCTAACAAATTGCCACAGATAGAGAACACTTGAATGTAAAAACAATTTGGTCAACATTAATTCAAGTTTTAACATATGAATGAAAACAGCAAATTTTAAACATTTATAATAGCCAAAACTGCCTACAATCTTTGAGTCAAATGAGTCAACATCGGGTTCTACATACCGAGATACGTCAGCTGCTATTCCTCAACAAGCGACTGAATTACGCATCTGACTGTCAATATTTAAATGATCCTTTCGTAAAAAATGTCCACCAAAACTTGGCTTACCAGTAGTTAAAGGTTTCTTCTCTTGGCACACCGGCCTGCAATTTTATCTTTGAAGTCCGTAAAGCCATAATCTCTTTATACTTGTGATCACTTGTTTCCTTAATTAGTTCAAATGCCTTTCAGCCACACTTTTTTCAGTCAAAGTTCTTTCCATTTATCCTTCTTAAAACAAGATCAATAAGAATATTTCACACAGGTGCTTTAGATGTGTAAACAGGTGTAATTATGGCCATCAAAATAAAGATGTAATTGGGTCTTGTCTGAATCTGCCTGCTACAGTGTGGTGAAAAAGGGTCAGCACAATAATATTCAGCCTGGGGAACTGGTTTGGAGCGAGCGTTCGAGCTTTCACAAGTGGGTAGGAATCTGAGTGTTTGGAAAGAAAATACATGATGAGGGGGTTCGTGAAGTTGCAGATTGGGACTCTTCGCTCTGGTCAGCCTCCTGGGGGATATCTCTGCTTTTCTTGTATATACCTAGGTCGATCAGTTCATCCAAACACATCGCCGCTTGGGCTCACTCGGGAACTTAAAACTGCTTTTAAATCGTAGCTCATATACAGTGGAGGATGATTACCTTGGACGGCACAGCAGTGAAGGCGACAGCAGAGGGCAGCGTGATATCATGATGGCATGGAAAAAACTGGAATAACAGAGTAACTGTTCTGCACCAACGTGATATGTGATGCTCAAGGTGATTGTGTTAGTGGCAAGACAGGGCACTAGACATTTCTTTTACCACTTTAAGATCCCCTGAAAATACGCTTTTACGCAAAGCACAACTAAATGCACAACTACAGGTATGTAGGTTAACATCTACTCAGCATTCTTACAATCCTGTAGATATTTATCGGATTTTTAAAATTACTTTAAAGTTGCTGAGAATCAATTCCTTCAACCAAAACAAGTTCGAGCTCTATCTCATTTTGTTCAATGATATCACTTTTAAAAAGCGTAAGCCAATGTGCCTATTTTATTCGGACTATGTTTGGCATACCATATGGTCTCCAACTGAACTTCTCCTAGCCACGGGCTCCAACATTATTTCTATCAAACCAAACATATGCCAAATAATGAACTTCTGTGAGCATGTAAAGAAAAGTGACGTGTTTTATTCAACTGATCCAGTCTTCTTCAGAGCTTTCAGCAGAGCATACTCCCGAACAACAGTCCTGACAAGCACTCTCGGATCTGCAAAGAGAACTTCGTTATCTTCCTCAGACCTCTGCAGCAGCCTCTCAACACGCTCTTCAATTTGACTCATCGCCAACGTCGGCACAAACACCGGCTGTCGGTTCCTCAGATACCGCGACTGTCGCAGCACGATGTGCCTGCGCACTTCCATCTTGCGGTGAGTCCTTTGGACAAGAAAGCGGCTTTTCAGCGTGCGGACGTCTCTCGTCAGGCAGCCGGTGTCCACAAAGTGAGACAGGATCTTGTGGAAGCGTGCCGATTTGTAGGTCTGCAGGATGACGACGGTGAAAGTCAGGAGGCTGATGAATCCAACGAATGCTAGAAGTACAATTAAGAAGATGGGGAAAGTCTTCTGTTGGTTGGCCTCAATGGGAAGGCCTCCGAGGAAGAAATTGATTATGGCCACAGCAGTATTAGGAAGGCTGCGGAAGCTGTCAATGTGCCCACTGTACAGGGTCCATCCAGCAAAAACAAAAGCCATCAGCACGGTTACAAACACCGGCAGGGATTTCAGAACCTGCAGGAATGAGGCTTCGCAGGACTGGAGAAGGAGCGTCATCCGCTCGCTGCAGTGCAGCTGAAAAAGTACTTTCATCATGGCCGTGAAGACAACTAGGCCACTTGACATGGATGTGTAGCACAGCAATGTTGCAGTGTTGATAAACGTACCAAAGGAAGCTTTAGAAACTGTCACCTTGCCAGCAACTATCCACTGATAAGCCAGAACCGCGACAGCTATGGCAGCAGCCATGAAGTTGAGCAAGCCAGTGAGGTGTCTCAGAGAGGTATAGTAGGTCCTACCCCATCTCAGCATACAGTGCGCTTCAGTAAACATCATGCTGTACACAGACAAGCCTACCAATCCTATGCAGCCAAGATACACGGTGCTGGTCCAGTCAGCATCCTCTCCAACCCTGACTACTCCGACAAGAACAGCAGGCTCCTGAAAACCAGTTGGTAGCACTTCGATGACCAGCCTCACTATGCTTGTCAAATTCACTTGGGCATTAAAGAGTAAGAACTCCACAAAGACTGCCCGGGTGTATCCGTCAATCCACTTGCCAGCTTCCAGGGTTTGCACGATCTGGACTGCTCCCTCGTATCCTCCCGTCAAGTCAGCAGCATAGCCTCCCCCGTGGTAGGTAGCATACTTACCACCGTAGGGTGCACTCTGCAAGTCTTCTTGGGTGTAGAAGCGGAAGCCAACAGGCTGAAGGGCAGGGGAGATGTCTCTGTCAGTGGGCTGCCACGAGCCGAGGTACTGAGATGTGTCCTCGATGAGGGGGGAGTAAGCAGAACTGCACAGGGCTGAGGAGCTCAAGAGGACCTTTTCAGAGACAGTGTCTCGACAGGCATCTGGTTAAAGGTATTGGAAAGATTTCAACACCAATGTACAAAATGTAGCATTTGAAAAGTTTCTTTCCAAAACGCAATATCTCCCTTTGGGAAATGTGAAATTTTCCCCACATTTCTGAAGTATAAAGAATAACAACAATTTACTGGGTGACCTGTACTGCATTTTTCACTTCACTGATTTTATAAAGTTGTGTCGTTCCCACGTGTCTGAAATATAAATAACAATTTACTAGATGACATAATATTCATTTTCACTTTACCAACTTTATAAATTTGCGTCTCTTCTCTTCCAGTGAGGAATTGCGGTGGATATGGTACTTATAAGACACTTATTGCATGGTAAAAATAACTCTTAATTTGGAAACAAAAATAATGTGTGTGCACTCATCATGCCTATAAATTCACTTAAGGGTCCTACACATCAAAGTTGGGTATCAAACTTTCATTTGTCAACAGTAATTAATCCAGGACGTGATGATGTGAATACAATAGCCTATTTATCTGCAGCGTTTTCATGCTAATAAAAATCATGCGCAGATTTGGCGACGCTGGATTTGACTGTACAGCTTTTCTTAGTATACCTGCCAAGGTCTTGTTCACCCTGAGTTGTCTCAGCTGGGGAGTACCCAGGAGCTTCAGATGCTGATGGCTCCTCTCTGCATTCAGGACTGGCTCTAGACCAGGGAGGAGGGTCTCCCTGGCCCACTGCCAGAACTGATCAACCTTGTGCACCTGTCAAACCAAACATATAATTATAATTACGCTTACCATTTTTGAACAGTTTTTGACAAAGCAACATGAAGTCAGTAACATGAAGTCATTTCTCGTGTTGCTGAAAAATACAATATTGTAGTGCGACATTTGACTTCATTCTGCTAATAAAGTGACAGGAATGATTATCTGGTACAATGTTTATATGTCAAAATCGGGAGAAAGGGTATGTCGTGATTGTGTAGGTTTCCAAGGCTTTCAAGCCTATTTAGGTCAACTATGCGTGACAAATGGCTCTTCCATTAAACCATTTTTGTGAGTTCGTGACACCCTAAGGGCATGCTTTCAAGGGTAATTTACATCGGCATCATGAACACTGCCAAAGATTTGTAAAGTGGTTTTGGAGTGAATGGGCATTCATATCATCACAGTATAAGCTCAAATTGAGCATGATCCTGAAAAGAATAAAGGACCATACTCCTGAGAGAAAATATAATCAAGGGAAATCCAGAGTAATGAAGCCAGATTATAAAGTGTCACCATCAACATGGTTGAGATATCAAAAGTCTGTCTTGATTGCAAATTTAAAATACAGCATCTCTATTCTTTAAGGCAAGGGCAGTGAGTAACGTCTAGGGCTTTTTCAGTAGCTAAATGGACAAGTCTGTTTAACACATTTGCTCATGTATTTCTTTTGTTTCTGAGAAAGTTTAATGGCACAGATTTGAGTCTGAACGTGGGGCTTGAAGACAAAATGCATTCAATCTTCTAAAAATTTTGGATAAATTTAAATCAAATTAGGTTCCTCACTAGTTACAACTGTTCAAATCAAATCTTAACCACTAGTGAGTGCTTTTTTTGACTCCTACACAGCTAGAAGATTTTTATCCTTTGCAGTCACGACTGGAGTTCTGATTGGTAACAGTCCTGATCAAGACAAATGAGGCAAGTCTAAGCAAATGAGATTTACCTCTTTTCTGCTAATTGTTTTCCTGGGACAATTCATTTTTTTCACTCTACTGACTGAAAGCAGGGTGTCACAGAACGAAACACAAGTACAATGAAACTAATATATATTTTTTTCATTTCATTTTTCACTCTGTCACATCTTGATCACAAAGCATCACATTTTACGTATAATTTTCAGGCAAATAAACAAAATAAAGCCTTTATCTAAATTTGATCTCAACCTTCCCTTAGTTGGGATAAAATTAGGAACTATGAGCATTTTTTAAAATGGTTTTACCTGATGAAAGGATAGCGTCCGATGCTCTGCTCCATTTATCAACATATTTTTCGTTGTTAATGCCACATAGTATTCATTATTGCTTCTCCTTCCATGGGCAAGGTAGATGACTAAAGCGAGGAATAGCCATGCAGGAAGATGCTTCTTGACAGATTTCAGCACTCTGGTTTTAGAGCGAGTAGAGGTTTCAAGTTTTCTGAGGTGATGGCTTCTCAGCAGACAGGATGATTTGGCTTCAGGTTTCTTTTCAGCATCTACATTTGGAGAAGACTTGTGATGGAAGCTGGGGGCTGTTGATTCAAATGAGGTGGATGCCCTGGTGAGACAGTCTGGCTTAAGGAAGACAGATCGAAATACAGCATTGAGGAATGCTAGGATGGGTTGCAGGAGCAGCAGGTTTAGAGTACTGCCAATCGCAACAGGCACAAGCCAGTTGACGACCTTCTTGGCTGTATAGTCAAGCGTCAGAAAGGCAGTTGCCACACCAGATCCACCAATCAAGATCCAATTTACAATCCAAAGGATGACCGAGGTCCACCAGGGCAAAAGGTTTTTCTCACCACACCCAATTAAAAATCCCCCCAGTCCGAGTCCCTTTTCCTCTCCTTCCAAAACCCCATCAACAACCTTGATGCCCTTATCCTCGACGTTCTTCGGGAGTTCTCTTTCCTTCCTCATTTTCCTTGATGTTCCAGGGAATTTAACAGAATTTTTTATGCCACCTGCTGGGCTGGGAAAACCTTTCTCGGTCAAGGCGTTTTGATTCCAATTCAGGTTTAGAGACCTGGTCATATGCTGGCCATTTCCACCTCCTCTGTGAGCACCCCCTTGAGACTCTGGAACCTTGCCAGCCTCCTTTAAAGTGGATTTTTTGCTGTGCCTGGACAGGGACCATCTTGAATGCCCACCACCTTTTTTGCAAGGAAACTGGAGGGGTCTAGGACCTGGAGTTTCGGGACTGGAATCTCCTTCATCACTACTCCCCGATGAAGGGTTAGTATATTGGTTAATGCTCTCATCAGGGGAACTGACACCTTTTGGTTTACCATCCAAAGGCAAGTGGGCATTTTGGTTGATGTTATAAGGCAAGTCCTTCTGGGCATCCTCAAAATTTTCATCATAATCTGACCAGTCCTCTGATGTGAAACTGGCAGAGGATAGCACTCTTGGGATGCCAACCAGTGCGGCTTGTTTGGTTGTCTCTTGCTTTTCATGTTTCTCTTCCTCTGGGATTGACAGAGCACCAAGATTTTCAAGTCTTCTTTCTGATGTCTCAGAAATCTCCACTTTGATTTCCTCTGCTTTCGTTGGAGGCCTCCAACGCCTGCCTTTGGATTTCCTCTCCGCTGCTGGCATAGCTGGAGGTGACTCTGGAGTTGTTTCTGCCTCATCTGATTTCTTGATTAGCAGACGAGGTCTGATGGTACTGAAGGCAAATATGAGAAGATAGTAAACAGGAAGCACTACAACCCCTGCTGCTATTCCAATCATGATACTTGTCATGTCTAGACTCAAGGAGATGCTTCCGTCTGTTGGTTCTTCCTCGCTGGGCTGTAGAAACCCTCTCAGGAAGGTCACGATTGCCATGGACAGAAAAAGCGGTGCAAAAAAGGAGGCTACTCGCTGGGCATGACTGAACTGAGAAACGGGGGACCTGGCGATCATGTTCCACACTGATAAGTGTTTGGTGAGAGGTCGGTAGCTTGGCGCAGTCATGAACAGGTGGTGACGATGGACAAGCTGTGAGGCTGTTGATTCTTTGAAGGATACTGGTTCATTAGTGGACTTCATGATGTGGTTGCAGAGGAAGTAGGCTTTGTCTCCACTTATGTAGTCTTGCACCAGAACTCGACTAAGGTGCCTATCAAAATACATGGGGAAATAAAGGAAGGTTTTAAACGGTCTTAAAATGTTCCATTGTACTTCAAATTGAAGAGCACAAATTTTGTTGGAATCAATCAAGAGAAAGTGAGAAAACGAAATTTCATGGCATCTGAGAATAAAAGTGTTGCATATTTCTTAAACGTATATTAAGTACCAAAAGTCTGATATACCAAGAGGTATTTGGATGTCTCGCCTAACGTGTCATGCTTCAAACACTTCAGTATCACACACTCCTTAGTGTTACAAAGTCAAGGCAGTTATGACATATGTCACAGTAACTTGCTCATTACAGCAAATTTGAAAAAAGGGTTTGACATCAGCACAATTACTTAAAAAATCTGGCCAAGAATATTATCTGTTCAAGCATGAGAGGTGTGATAAGATTTTGTAGATACAGTTAAGAAGCAATGGTGAAGTACGGTGCACTCAACACCAACATGACCAACACGTCGTTGATCGTGAACCCTGCTACCTTCACTACCCAGGATTTCTGGAGTAAGAAACGGGTAACTGACTGACCACTGTGGACTGTAGCCCTGGCCATCATGCCACATGGTTATCATCTCAACTTTGCCCACATCTGCTGCCACTGTCACAAAGAACGTGTCCACACTACTGCCTTTGAAGGCGGTGTTGTTTGGACTGGCCATTTCTATCGGTTCAGAGGTAGCCGACTTCCCATGCAAGCAGAGAAATACCTAAGAATAGAAATGAAACATGAGATATTAGATAAAAAGAGGCTATCAACACAGTTGTTCAGCTTCTCATCTTTAGTTGTCCCTTGTGAAGGAAATCACACATCTTGAAACTATTTTGGAAATTTTGTTTAATAAGGCTGAGACTGTACAGTTCCATTTGAATTCAGCACATTTTTCAACTGGCTGGAAATAGAGAACAGGACATACTTTTGCTGTAGTTCCCGAGTTGAGATCCATCCCAGTGAAGATTGTTATGATGTAACAAGACTTTTCCATTTCCAGGTCACCATATAACTATTCAAAAAAGGCAATAACGACTATAAATTTTAAAAACTATGTCTGCCTTCCTATCAAACAGAAAGCTTGACTTGATGAGTAGTTGAAGAAGAGAAACTTTCCTCTCTCTGCTCATGGTAAGGAGGCACCTAGAGACTCGGATAGATTTGAAGACCGGATAGAGAAAACGGCTTTGAACAAACACTTTGATCAGTCGAACAAAACAGAGAGGTACGGGGCCAAACAAGAAAGCTGGGCAGAACTAGAATATGGCCTACGCATCGACAGCTTGTCATACATGTCATAATAAAATGAAAAAATTTAATAACTATAACATTGTGTATTGCCTACACTGGAATTTTCTCGAACGATGTATATATCTCACCTTTCTGTAGAACTGCCAATCAGCTCTGAATGCACACGCCAGTGCCACAAGGAACAACCCAACAACACCGCCCACGATGTACAAAATGATAAACGTCCTCCCACTATCGTCCACCACTTCAGGCTCCTCCTCCACCTCAACCAAGAACACTTGGCGGTTTGGTGGGACAAAGAAGCTTCCACCGAAAGAGGAGAGGTGATCACAAAGGCAGTGGGTAAAACTGGCAGTGGTAAGAGATCCAACCTGACAGGATATTTAACAAATAGGAACAGAGAATGGTTTTGCTTAAAAAAAACAGGAAGAATTATGTTACTAGTTTCAGCTTAGCAATGTTTTCTTAAATTATAAACTCATTACAGATAACCTCTTTGTACCTTTAATTTGTAACATTCCTGTGATGAAAAAGAAAATGAATCACAGAATTTCAATTATACTGACGACTGACACAGCAAGTTTTGCATCAAAAGCAGAAGCTGTTAAGTTAACACTGCTGTTACAGAGTGCTAGCTGTGAAGCGATAAATTGGTTTTATTTTCTGAAGTCTTGTTATACCTCGCAACCGTAGGGGAACCACTGTTCATACACAGGGGACCAGTACATGCACCTGGCTGTGTAGATCTGGATGTTGATATCCACGATGACCTCCTTGTCTGCTGTTCCAAGTGTTGCATTGATGCCTCTAGACACTGAGCTGGCCCCATTGGAATCATCCAGGGGCCTAACACTGAGGTAGTAGGTCCCGACAGCATACAGCATGTTCTCTGGGATGAACCAGGTATAGGGGTTGGCAGTGACATTCAGCGTTTCATTGTAGCCAGAGGAGTACAGATCCCACTCTGGGATGGGCAGGGTGATCCGGAGATCATACTCCTCCGATGTAGGGTAGAAACCGTAACGGAGGACAGCCTCTAAGAAGACCTCCTTCGGGGGGTCTTCCCCCATCTCCTGGTTGGCCACCTGGATGTCGATGTGCAGGGAGCTGTGGGTGTCGGTCAGGTTGAAGTGGAGGTAGAGATGCTCAGTGGAGGAGGCAGTCATGGACTCGTAGCGGATGGTGCCCTCATCTCCCCGTGGGATCAGCATCTCAACATTGGAGGAGAGATCAGTGACAATCAGCTCCTCACCTGTGAAAGATGAGAGTTGATCACCACATATCAGGCAGTGCTATCAGCTGTTCAAATTAGTCAAGGCTGGTTCATGCCTGGCCTGAACTGTGCAAGTTTCAGTAGATTTGCAGCGAGTATGATCCTTCTATCTTCTGTCAAATTGGGCAGTTGAATGAAAACAGAAAGGTCTATTTCCATTCTGCCACATATGCAATTGAAAAATGTATTTGTTTTCATCAACAATGAAACATTAAATAAAAACGGTACACCGGGTGTCCACAATTTTTCACTGTACAGATTAATTATAAGTTTATGTTTGAAGCTGTCGAAACTGAGTTTTTGCAACCAGAAGAGGATTGGATTCCAAAAGGTACTAAAATATAGTACTTCAAATAGTACTTCATCGTGTTTTTGAAAACAAACTCTTCAGTTATTCATTATGGTCCTCATTATTCCTGGTTTACTATGGCAACACTAACCATCATCATCCTTCAAACTAAGTCCAATGACTGAGGTCTTGATGTCATAAGCACTCAGATGCCATGAGTAAGGATTCTCAGATACACTGAAAACCTGCCAGATGCAAAAAGAAATGGATTTTACAAGTTTGCAAAATGATTTTGACAAATGTGAGCATTTACGTGACAGTCTTGAATAGCATGCTGTTGAATGAATCCAGTATGAAATGACAATTATCTTTTTATACTAACCGTTGCGTAGTTTTCAAAAGTATCGGAGTGTAATATAGCCTGCTGTTGGCATGCATTGCGCTTTTCGGTAAGAGGTTTGGGGAAAGTTCTGGAATGGAGTGGGTCTGATATCTGTCTACAGTAATAATTAAAAAGTAAATCTAAGACAACACTGATACCTGTGACCCAAACTTTGGAATAATATTACGGAAGAGTTCAGGTACTACAGCCAATTTGCTCTTGTTTGTGGAGCTCTTTAGAGAGGCGTGAAATTATGGATATAACCAGACAAATTGAGCTTTGTTGAAGTTTTTTCTCACCTGGCTGCTGATGATATCCCGATTGTACTTCCTCGCAATCTCAGCCATGGCAGTCTCGGGTATCTTAAACCATGTCCCATCGGCAGTCTGGAAGAACCTGACCCCAGGCTCCCGCAGGTTCTCCAGCTGCAGCGTGAGCATCATAGGCCCTGCCTGGATGATGGTGGAGGGCTCGCCAGGGACTTTGCTGCTCAGGATGGTGTTGGAGACCTCCTCGAGGATGCTGAAGACCTTCTTGGTGACACTGCGACTCTGTACAGAAAAGTTGGAACTTTGGTTTGTTTCTCACTTTTCACTGACCTCTTACAAATGTGTTCAGATCACAAGTTGATCTGGGTTCACAACCATCTCCACAGTCTTACTTCTTTGACATGCAGCACATGTGGACCTCCTAGGTCAGGTCCAGGTTGACATCTGGAAGCTGTTCTAACACACCCAACAATATCACTAAATAAACTAACAGGTTTGAAAGACTTAGGGACAAAAAATTTTGTTCTCAACTGCATCCTACTGCCTCAGTTTATGCACATTAATGAAAATACACAGTTGGCAGTATAGCTTTTTTTGGGAAAGTCAGGTTCTTGGCTAAAAGTAATGATGTTGCTGAAGGGTTAAGTCACTGCCACTGACTTAAAGAAATTAGGCATGCCACCTGACGAATTTGGGCACTTTGGAAGTTCAACAAGAACTCATTTCTTCCCTCTGTAAAATCAAGACGCTCCACTGGGCACAATATTACCTTGCCATTATGTTCTACATGTATAATTACCCATTTCCATACCTCTCGAAGCTGGAATGGCACCCAAGGGTCTTGTTCTATGATGTCAATATCCGGCACGCTCAAATCCACAACGGTATCTGAACGGGTAAAATCAGACACGAAGTCGACTCTTTGTACATTCATTTCCTGATCCAGTTTGACTGGCTAGAAAGTTACATTTTAACTTAATGCGTGCTACAGCGTAGCTTCCCAAAGTCTTTACATAACACCAGACTACCTGATATGAGTGTGTGATGAGTCAGTTTATACAAACGCTGCTCAAACTGCATCCAAGCAGCCTTGAAAAGAGCTCTTAACTTCCATCGTGCAGGATGATAGTTTCCGGAGCTTTATTAAGCCAGGATTCAAAATCCAGCTCTAAGGTTCCTCAAATTTCTCTGAAACACTCAGCTCTACAGTTCAAATAGGTGGAGCCATTATAAGCCCTTTTTCACGATGCGCACATTGTTCAAGTGTGCCTGCCCTGAAATAAATCCAAGTCTAGCTTACCACTCCCAACGACACCACCGTCAAGACTCTATTTGAAATATTTCATATCCAAGATCACCTGAGCTCCTTGTAAGCGTTAATGCCACACTCTCTGGGTAGGTGATGTTGCTGAACACTGCTCCCTCCACCCTCCAGAAGGCCTCCCAGTCATCCGGATGGTTCTCCAGGAGGTTGTAGAACGTCTGCACCTGGGCAGCTGCAGCCTGTAGCAGGCTGGATGCTCCTGTGGAGGACAGAAGGACAGCTCCAATTACAACTTCATCCATGCCTAAGGCATACGCTATGAGATCTCCTTTAAGGTGGCCATGGGTGGCTTGTGCATAGGGCGCACGTCTCTCACCACCGTGTCCCAGGGTTCGATTCCCGACCCAGGCCATATGAAGGTGGAGTTGCTTGTGGGTTCTCCCCTGTACCAAAAGGGTTTTCTCCAGATTCTCATGGATCATCTGGTGGCTGTCTGATTTCAAAAATATTCAGTATGTTTTTTGAGTTGGCATGCAGTGGTGCTGCTAGAGTTGACTTAGCCCACATGTGACAACACTTTGGAATGTGCTTCATTTGGGCACATGCTGTTGAAATATCAATCTGGCTCTTTGAGCAGGCCCATTTCATATAAATATTGAGGGCTATCATCTGACCACACATATCAGCTACCTCTTGATTTAGAATTTGGCTCCATTTGGTAGGTTCGTCTCAGCAAAAAAAAATGGACAGCCTCATCGGGAGCTGTACAAACTTTTTATCCGGTTTGTAAGTGTGATGTCACTTCAGTTTAGACCATGCCCACTGCACATGCACTGCACATGGAGTTACATGCATTGATCGCCGTTAACGTGGAACCACGGAACCGCAACTTTAGCGATTGTCCAATGGGAGCCTGCGAATCGTGGGGCATCTGCCTTTGTGACAAAGTCACTTACGAACCGGATTGAGCCTCGTCAAGCTGCTGACCTGAGTAGAAGTGTCTGGATGCATCTTCAATGACGTCAATGCTTGTCCCCTCTTGACGTTCTTCCTTCAAGACATTGACCATCTCCAAATACGAATTAGCAGCTAGCATCTAGGATAACAAAAGTGGTCATTTCCAACTTGCAAATGAATGTTCAACAAACACTTCAGAACAGCAACTTTTTTTCTGTTTTCAAAATTCTTTACAAATTCCTACCTTTATTTACTGGACACTTACACCCACACAAAGGACTGTCTGGTTTCTACTCTAATCTGACGGACAACATCTATTGACGCTGGAGTATTTCAGCCAGGCCTGCTACCTTGTAAAAAAGAGCCCAGATTGTGCGGTGTTACGTAATTTTCTTTTGTGCATGAACCTGGCACAGTGGGCGGCTCACCTTTTTTCAATAGGGGCCAGATTCGCATGCAGTGGTGCTGTCTGGCTCATCGCTGCGGTGGTGGAGCGCTTTTACACCGGGTGGTAATCCGCTTGTACTAAATGCCCCAAACCGTGGTATACTGTTTCAAGGCTGGATTATCTCCACTATTGAGGGTAAAATAATGTTGGCAATGCCCAGCAGCCTGGTCTTTTGTTACGAGTACGGTCTTTTGTTACGAGTACGGTCTTTTGTTACAAGGCCCAGTTCCCTTTGTCCGATTTCAGAGACCCCAGCCACACGTATAAAGAATACAGATCCGGTACCGGCAACCCCAGCGGCAAGTGGTTAATAAATAAAAGCAAAACAATTGCAGTCTATTTCAATAAAATATTTCTGTCACGCTCAGAGTAAGGCCCTAAGAGTATATTCAAAAATTCCACTTTTCCTGTAATGACCTCATAGCACAAAGCTATCAACATTCAAAAACATTTTGTCATGATGGATTACATCCCTGGATTTCCAGGAATGCAATATTTGCACATTTGGGACAAACTGCAATTCCCTCTGATATTTCAACGCTCAACACAAGGGCTGAAGTTGTTCTTCAAAAAGAAAGACATGTTCTCTGTAGTTCAGCTAAATGTAATCCGTGTTTCAGTGGCAAAATGGCAAAAAAGAAATGACTAACACCATCGGTAAATGTTTTCTGAATAACCAAATCCAACATTTCTACACGATTTCCCTAAAATGTGAGGAGTCGTTCTATAAAATTTGATGTGTTTGCAAAAACTTGTGGTTTGAATTCTATGAATCCGATCTGGAATCATACTTCAGTATGCTTTGATAATACCAAACTTTACCCTGTCCCCAAATGGATTTGAGGTGTAAAAGATACTAGACTTGGCCTACCTGAGTTTTGGGTGTGACCTCGGCAGGCTCGCTTATAGCTTGAGTGATAGCGGCTGAAGTCTGCTTGGTTGAATCCAGATTCAACACTCTAACCTGCATTAGTTTCTCCACTAGTCTGGATCGTATCTAGCATGGAAAAGATTCACACATGAAGTCCAGTTTCTGGTTGATTGTTTCTGGTGAATCTTATAATTGAATGAATAAGAGAAATTGAGCAATATATTCTTGTGGCATTTCCAAACATCAAATAATCATTGTAAGAAAGATTAAATTGTCATAAATATAAGAACATTTAAAATTGCAGTTTTAAATGGTCAGAAAAAGACTCAGTTGCAAAAACAGATGTAAAATAATTTCAAAATAAAAATGAACATTTCGTTGAAATCCCAATTATGGTAACACTGCTCAGTAGTTTTTATATCCAGAAATTTGGCTTCTCAAGTTGCAGTGTCCTAAATTCACTTTTAAGGTCTGAACGTTTTCCCTGTGATTACTTACTGTGATCCCACTGTCTAAGATCAGTTTCCTTGATGCCCAAAGAAAGTCTCTGTCATTGCCTTATATCATCAGAAGCACAAACACTGGAAAGTACTAAGCAAAGACCCCAGTGCAACTTACCTCACTCTTCTGCTGCAGCCATGTGTCCACGCCGGTGTTCCCTCTGTCACCGTCCCCTCCAAGCTGTTCTTCCTCCTCCTGCTCGTTGAGGATGGCAGCGAGGGCGCTGATGGCCTTGGTAGCTGACTGGATGTCGCCCCTCTCCAGGTACAGGTCTAAGGTGCTGGTGGTGTTCCCTCGCTGGAGGGCAGCTAGCTCGGCTCCCAACTCGGACTCGTGTGGTGGTAAAACCTATTAAATAAGAAATGATGGTCATTTGAATCCAAAACGTCGTGGAGAAGGGGTGGGTGGGTAGAAGTATTCCACCACTTCCTCCTTTCAGCTCTGCAGTCATGTACCCAGAGGGGAAAAGCGGAGGGGGGCAAGTCCCCGCCTCCATGAGACATGTTGAAGTTTTTTTTTTTTTTTTTAGGAATTGAAAGTTCCAGCATTTTAGAAACGGTACAAACACCTAGCAGGGTGGAGATTATTTTGCTGATAAATAGACTAGAAAAACAGCTCAGCAGTGGTATTACAAATTATAGTTGGGGCCCTTTGAAACTTCTTTAGTGGGCATAACATTTTGAACAGTCAATCTGATGAAAGACAGTGACTTTCCAAGATGGTCCCCTCACTTTGACTTGAAGCTGAGCGTGCGCACTAGCACCTAGCCCATCTATCACCTCCACGTGAATGTCCACCATGTAGGACCTGCTTGCCCTGCCCATGGGTAGTGTGAGGGGTGCTGTCACCCCCTCGGGACTGTAGTACAGCAAGTGGAAGGTCTCATCAGATGTTTCAGATCCCACCACCCTGGCTGCGACTTCACTGCCGGTGCTGTATAGGAACTCATAGTGGAGGGGTTTCTCTTCGGAATCGAAACCTGGTATAAGGTTGAAACAAAGTCTGCTGTTTTCAGTTCACAATATGTGGCAAACTTAGCAGGTTAGATTTCGCAGTTAACATTTTTAATGAAGGAATGCTTACCGGACGTACTTCATATCAAATTTTCAAGTCAAACTTATAAATGGCAAAAACTAACACAAATGAGGTATGACTTTGTTGTTATCTTGTTTAGCTAGAAAATTTCAGGTGTAGAGTCAAGAGCACTTTACCTGCGCATGTGATGATGAATTCTGTGCTCAGTGCCCTGCCTTCCTGAGGAGTAATGCTACAGGTTCCTTGAGAGGGGACACTGCCTATCGGATAGTGATATTCTGAGCGTCCTGCATTCCTGTGCCGTGCATGAAGCACAGCGACGGTCACCAAGAATCTGGCAGACAGGTGTTGAAGGAAGATGGATGACTTGATGACCAGGTATGGGCTACTGCCACCTATGAATTTAAAACAAAGAAGACAAACATTTTAAAACAGTAAATTGTTCGCTCAGAAGTCGAGTGGAGGAAAGAGAATGATGAGGTGAGTTTTACATAATCTATAAATCAGTTGGAAAATGCAACAAAAATGGTGATTTCTTATATCTGCAGAAGAAATATTGAACTCTAAGCTGAGGAAAAACTCTGACTATATGAACATTGGAATCAAGTTTTGAAAAAATGAGTTGACTTCGGTATTCCCTCTTGACTGTCAACCTAACCTACGAACGCTTTTGCATCATTTGAGCAAACACAACTAAAATATATTTACCCTTTTTCAGTAACGCAATAAGAGTTGCACCGACAAAGATTTCCATTTCGCACTGACATAGGTGCATTCAATAAACATTTAACAATGGTGCAAATGCATAACAATGAGTTAAGGACACAATTACCGCACTGGAAACAATGTGTTATTCCATAAACTCAATTTGGAAAATCCATGGCACAGTGACATCTGGATCTAACAGGAACCAAGATTGTCGGATAGTAATAACTGCACTAAAAGCAAGAATGTAGAGTTGTGGTCAAATGTTTATATACACTTGGACTGAGAGCGTTTCATTTTGCAATTGTTCGGATTGTGCTGGTTCTTGTTAACCGTTCTTTCCCTGTAGCTGATCACCCAAAATATCTACTGTTCCTTTTCATGGATGTCGACGTTTTCAGTCCACGTGTATGTCCACTTCCGACCACAACCGTACCGGTTACTGTGTCTGTGCTCATTTGGAAGCCTTGTCCGGACCCACTGTCGTCCAGACCAGTGACATTCCACCTGTAGTCGAGGTCAGTGGTCTTGTTGCCGCAGTTGGAACACACCACTGCTAGAGCCAGCTGCTTCTGGGGGTTGACCTTGGAGCCGCAGTTACGCACGCACCTGACGGTGGAGGAAGAAAGACGGGGGGGAGGGGAGGCATGCAGTGGTGTATGTAATTAAGTGTGGTAGAACGGCCAGGGATGGAGGGG